GTTATTACATCTTGTACAATTATATAATACAAGTTCTCAGCTTCTAAAAAGTATATAAATATTATTAATTCAGAACTTGCTGAATATGTAGATAAATCAATAGTATTAAATATTGATAACTATTACATCATTTATACTAAACAAATGCCTAATATTACTACAATGTCTACTATTATATACTTGGCAACAATTTTAATAAATTCAATTGCTATACAAAATTCAATCTTAAGAGCAAATATATATAATTCTGTACTAGTTAATGATAATTTAATTAAAACTAATATAAAAAATAAATTTATTACATTTTTTAGTTTTTTATATAACAAACATTAAAGATTCTGTATAGTTGATAATAATACAAGAATAGATGAATTAATTGTGTATAGCTATGATATAAAATTAAAAAAATATATAATATTTGTTTAATAAAAGATGTTGTTCTTGTAGATTTGTAAAAAAATACTCTTTATTTATTAGAAGCTTATATTAAAGCCACTAATGCTATTATAGAAATTCTATCTATGTAACAATATATCGAGAAAGAAAATATTATTTCTATTATTATTAATTGGTCTAAGCAAATTTATCTTAGAACTGTTATTTTTTGCTACTTGTGTTATCATAAATCTTTGAATATAATTAATAATATTCTGTTTTTTCTTCTAATTATAGGTCTGTTATATATTTTATTGAATAGTCAGAAATTAGTGTTTTTTTAGTATCAATTTTTTTTTTTGCAATGTATAGGTATATTTTTTTAAAAAAAACTTTTTGTATAAAATCCTAAGTCATGACATATCAATCTTCTTTTAAAAATTTCTTGTAATGCATAATAAAAATTTTCTACAATCATTAAATCAAAATTTGAATTGTTGTATAAAGATACAATATATCTTATACTTAAAAATCTTTTGAACAATACAATTTTCTTGTTTTAAATATTTATACAGTATTTTTCTAATCTGGTAACTTTAATACATATTTTGAACTATACTTTCATATTTGAACAATATTCTTTAGATTCTAGTACAGAAATTATTCAAAAATACTTTTACTGTTTCTTTTGAATGTTTTTACTAAAAATCAAACAACTATCCAATTTTAAAGATTATTAGGGTAGAACTCACTAAGTTTTCAGATTCCACTATTAAAATATTTCACAGTTTTTTATGTCAAAATATGCAAAAACATATTGAAATACAACAAATTATTAAGTATAAGTACTATATAAGTTAATTGTATTTAAATAATTATAGTTTTAAAAAAAACTTTATGCATATATTAACATAGACAGTTTAGGAATATTTTGCATAATATATTATGAGTTTGATAAAGAAAAATGCATATTTTCTTTTGTAATGTTTTTTAGAAATTTATATTTGTATGTTCATCAAAAACTTTTATTTATTATTTAATTTGATACTAATGTATATTTATTTTCTAAAAAAAAACAAATTTCTTTTTTATTAGTTGTATTAAAAATATCAAAAGCATGATTATATCACCTTCTTTTAGATTTTAGTGCTTCATATAAACTAGATTCATTTTCTTACTATGATGTAACTAATTGTTTTATTGTTTTATTTATTAATACAAGTACAATTTGAGTTCTAGTTTGTAGTTATATATATCATAAGTCTTGTTATATTACTAATAAGCTCAAATGTTTGTATTGTCTATTATTCTTGCAAAATGGTATTAATAAACAAATAAAATTCTTATTAACTCATTTAAAAAAAATAAACTAACCAATATCAAAAAACTCAACAAACTCGATGTTGATGACAATGATAAAAAGTTAACAATAGAATATATAGAATTTAAATTGAAAAAAAATATTAAAAAACTTTTAATTATTATAATTGAATTAACATTTTACTTTTTTTTATTTTTAATTTATTTATTTTTTATTTTTTAATATATTTTGCTTTATTTACAAATAAATTTCTGAGAATGACGATCTTAGTATAGTAGTTAAATTTCATCCTTCAAGCAGTAGATTCAATGTTTAATTCTTATTTACAACAGAATTTGAAAAAATGATTATATTTTGGTAAACTTATCTATGATTTAGGATTTGTAAATTCTGTAATTCTAGTTATATTAAGACTAATTTTGAAGTATACAATATTATATAAATAAATCTGAAAAGTATATACTCAGATTAGAAACCTACTTGAAAATTCTAAACAGAGAGGTAATACAACTTTTAATAATAACATCTGTGAAAATCTTGATTTGAAGAAGAAAACCTGTAACAGATGACTTGTATGAACAAAAATCTCTAGGTAGAAGGTCTACCAACCTGACCACTAGTTGATCTGAACATGAAATCACATTATACAGAACTAACTGAATTGGTAGTATAAGAGGACTTGTAAGAATAAACAAGGTATCAGTGAGGTTGTAAAAGGAAGATACTAGAATTGTATGAACTTTACAAAGATTATAAACTAAGTTTAGTTATAAATTAGAATACAAAAAGCTCTAGTAATGATGTCTTGAAGATAATTTGCATAAAATAAGACAGGATTCTAAGGGTATAGATAGATATCTAAAACTTCTTGACTGACATCATGTAATGAAAATGTTCTAGTAATACAGTAAGAATTACAATATAGAAGGTTTAAATAAGCAATACCTGTAATTGGGTTGCAGGTATAACAGCTAATGTAAAATCTATATATAAGTGAACTACTTAAATTAGACACCAAAAATGTATGTGTGGCTAGATGTATTCTCTAATGTAAAGTAGCTTCTCTGAGGTAATCGGACCATGAGCTACCATGTCCTACTATACTGAATAAAAAAGCCCTAGTCCTCAAAAGACTAGTTTAACTGTAAAAAAAAAAAAAAACATGAATTTTTTAAATGACTTTTTATTACCATCATTATTCGTCATTATTTGGTATTTTTGACCGTTTTCTAATTAAAATCGTAAAGCTCATTATCTCTAAATTATGCAATTTGATTTGTCAATTATCATGCATTGATCTACGTAAATTAGCCAATCATATGAATGTCTTACTATGACTATGGCTAGGGTACTTAGACGACCCCGATTTTGGCAAAATTGACGTGATACGTTACACCAAGATTTGGCTACTTTGATGTAGATCGTCACGTGAAAATTCCTTTTTTTCAGGAGTAGCCAATCAGAAAATAACAATATTTTTTATATTTTTAACACTCAAACGAGCAGTAGTTTTAAAACGATATTTCACAATGCCAATCCTTCCAACGACCACGCCGCGCTCTTCTTTTCACGAGGAAATGCATTATAAACGAAGAAGACCAACATATTGGACTGCATCAATTCCTTTATTTCTACGAAGATTGTTTCGTTTTCCGCAAATGGTAGTATTATTGTATGTTTTTTGTGAATGATCGAGTCAAGAAACAATAATTGTTTTATAATTACAAAATCTTTATCCAGGATTTCGAGTTTGCACTTTGGCAAATGCTCTACTTATGTATAGCTCCAAGAAGAGTGTGGGTAACAACTTGGCTAAAAGTCATTGATATGTATCAATATTACACCCTAGTTTAATAACACTAATTTTATTCTGATATATTACCAGATATCGCAACATTTATTATCACAAACGTAATTTTTTTGCTTTTTTATAAAGCATTAAATTTGAAGCTTTATTGATCTTGTCATATTTTACTCTATCCTACTTTCGCTTTTCAGAAACAAAAAATCAATGGGCAAGAGATGATCCAGCTTTTGTTGTAATTTTATCATTTTTTCTGGGCGGTAAGTTCATAATTTTTTAAAAATTCTTTTATATTTTTTCTCTGCATTTTTTTAAAAATAGTTAATATTATTGGCTTATGTTACATATAAAAGCATCTGCAATAGCCTGGGGATTAGGTTATGAGCATGGGATAGTGGGAATCCTCAAAATGTGCCTATTTATGGTCTTTATAGATTTTGTAATGGTTGGTCTAGTGATATCGACGATTTGTTGGTAATCTATTGTTATTATATTATTAAATTTTCATCTCTTATAATTATCTGATTATTATTATTATTGTCTCTCAAATAAAAGGGCATTTGCAAACAGATTTCTGTCACATAGACGTACAGTTCATACTGTTGAACAGACTGTGGAATGGGCCTATGCGTTCGATGTACATTGCAATGCGTTTTTTCCTTTATTTTTAATCTTATACGTTGCCCAATTTTTCCTCGTGCGAATCTTGATAAAACAAATTTGGATTTGTCTATTTTTGGGAAATTCAATGTACCTAGTAGCAGTAGGCTATTATTGTTACATCACTTTTCTTGGCTATAATGGTATGTTTGTTTCTTTCATTCAAGGTCGTTTTGTGTTTAAATCTTTTCTTACCATTTAAACCATTAATTTCAGCACTCCCTTTTCTGTTACATACCGAGATGTTCCTATATCCGATAGTTCTTTTTCTCATAATTTACTTTGTATCTCTTTTTGGGTTCAATATAAGTGCTATAGTTTTACAATTGTATTTTAGCTCGTAAAATTCGTAAAATAACTTTTTAGTTTTTGAAATTTTAATATTTATAAATTGGGACACTTAGACATTAATTCAATTGTTGTTTAGATAATGCTTTAATATTACATTTGTTATCGTTATGTGATCAATTTATTATATTTATTGACCCACGTGTTTAACCAAGGTGCAAATAACGTAAAAAAATTTCAACTGTAATTTGACTAAAAAAGAACATATTATCATTTTACATTTATTTCACATCACAATACTAGTAGTTCTAACATATAGAACATCCTTCATTAGTATCCTTAATGAATGCTACAACTTTTATATAGTATCCCCTTAATCATCGCAAAAAAAAAAAAAAAAAAAAAAAAAGAAAAAAAAAAATCCAAATGTTGATGGAATATTACAAATAGACTAATTGGAGACACTCTTGTAAAAAGTAACATGACAAAAAGTGAGTATATCATAAATATATTTCGTAACTTTAAAAAATTGTTAATCATTAAAAAAATCTCCTATTTGTTGTTTGCTCCTTTCAATGTTGCACCTTTCAATAATGCACATTGTTGTTTATGTCCATTTTTCCAATCATTCTTTTGGCATTCTTTGGAACAATAGTTCACACTTCCACAACCGGAACAAACTAGCAATTGTGCTTTCTTTTCACTACCTACTTCCCCATTTACATCTTTTCGTACTTGGCTGCTACAAGAATTACACTTTTTACCCTGATTATTCTGGGATGATGCAAAGAATCGTTGCAAAATTTTTAATCTTTCAGCCTCCTTTTTGGATCCTTTTTCCACTTTCGTACTTTCTTTAAGATGTTCTGGTTCGAAAAGTGCGACCGCAGTACGTTTAGCATCGGTCATCTCAGGTGTGCGTCCGTAAAGATAATTGTACCTTACTTCCGCTTCTTTAGCTCTTACGTAGTAATTTAAAGCTTGTTGAGTACGTAAATTTTGTGTGACCTGTTTCCGATTGCCTATCGTCGTTGCGTTGGCATTTTGAATCGTAAGTGCAGATAAAGCGTAAAGAGCAGGAGCATAAGAAGTCGAATCTTTATTAGCCTTTTCAATGTAAATTTTAAAGTTACGTGTAGCCTCCATTCGATCACCCTGTGATCTATATATAGACCCCATAATGTTATAAGCATCAACGAAATTGGGATGAATAGACACCAGGCGTTCAAGGTCTTTGATACAATGTTTGTGTTCTCCGGCTGCAAGATAACATGAAGCGCGAAGATGGAGAAGACGAGGATGAAGAGATGGATCAAGTTGTCTAAGGGCTATGGTAAGAGTCTGAATGCAGAACTGATATTGTTTTCCGTTGAAGAGAAGCCAGATTACTAGTATAAGTGACCTTAATAATAAAAGGCGTTAGTTTTACATAGTTTTTGTTTAATTTCTCACGTTACAATACTTACTCCCTTGTAAACTCCGGTTCGAATGTATCTGCCTCCTCCGGAGGAGAATAATCTTTCTCCGATTTCTTTGCCTCTACCACCTCCTTGCCTTTGTCATCCTCTTCCGCTTCTTCCGATACTTCCTCATTCTCTTTCTTTTCATTATCTTCTACACCATATTGTAGCTTTAAAAGTTTTTCATATTGCTGAGCAAGTGACATAATCCTAGGTGACATTTCAGTTGCTTTCTCGTCTAATAAAAAGGCTTCGACAAGACATTTTGTAGATTCCCGAATTTCTTTCTCATGAGCTTTCAAAGTTTCTTCATTCGAATCATCTGGAATCTTTGACGCGATATTGATACCGTTTGTAAACAATTCTTTTGCCTTAAAGTACTATAAACAGGAATTAATGAATTACAAATGAGTTATAACAATATATATATAGCAAATAACTACTACCTCTGCGACCTCAGGGTCCTCGGTCTCTTTTCTTTTGTCACGAAGCTCTAACAAATCGTATTCTTGAATTCTACTGTGCCTATCTACTAAAGGGTCGAGGTGATGATCATGATCGTGCTCATGATCGTGATTTTGTCTGTGTCCATGGTGATGGGAATGGTCATGGGCATGATGTTCGTGAGAATGCTCGTGAGAATGGTCGTGATCGTGATCATGGTCGTGTGTGTGATCGTGAACGCGAGAATTAAGAACAGGTGCTTCAACTAACTCGGTCATATTCATTCAACTTATGAAGAAAGGCCTCCTAGATAGTGGCTTGAATCTTGTGAGACTGCTTTAAAAAGCCTGTTCGGTTTGTGAAGATCGATGGTACTTTCTATAATTTGAGACCCGATAGGTTATAAAAATGTGGTTAAGTGATCGTCCCAATCCGGAGCCAATCCGAATCTTCTGGGTCTGATCAGGGACACGGAAAAATTCATATACTTATATTAACAGGAGCGACCGTTAATGTTACACTAACTGCCGAGAATCTCCGGTCATTCAAAATTTCATGGGCGATCTAGGGGCGATCATCACAAGTCAATCAGCCAATCAAATCATGAATTTCAAAAAATATGAAAAAAATGCAAAAAATGATCGAAATGAATTGAGAACGAAACTTAGACATAAAAGACCAAAATAAATTCGTTGGATCTTATCATGAAATGAATAAGCATGTTTTTATTAAGTTAATTAATAACTTTAAACTATCGATCCTTATAGAAACAAAATATAGGCCGTATCATTACTTTTGATACATTATATTTTATAAAATAAAAAGCTTATTATTAATAATACTAGGTAAATGTATGTCCGGAGCGAGTATGAAATTTTATTACATTTAACTATACGTACTACGTATAAATGTGTTACTATTTGATTGGACAATTTTCACGTTATGTGACCAAACAAACAACCTTGCATATCACCTTTTACAGAATAATATAGTTTTTCACTACGTTTCGGACAAATAAAATCGATCTGTGGTTTTTTGTTTTATCATTTCGCAAATTAAGTGGGCACGTGATATGCAATCGGACAGACAGAAAATTTTCAAATTGCTTTTTTGATGCGATATGATGAATTAAACTAATAATTACATCAAAAATGTAACATTTTATGTATCAAAAAGGTAACTTTTGTATCTTTTTGCTGATCATTTAATGTTCTTCGCTACACTCCGAACAATTAAATCTAATAAATGTTATTTTAAACTATACTTTTGGGATTATATATACTATAATATTAAGTTTTATAAATAAATTTATTATATATGAATTTTTTTTTTTTAAGGCCAATGTCAATAGTAACTAATGCTTTTATATTTTAATACATTATATATTACTTGTACAGGATAAGTGTACAACTAGTTACATGTGTAACTTTTGTTTATCTATTTAAGTAGTCCACCCAAGGGTTCTACACTAGCTGTCATACTTATAATCTACTAGGAGACTATTTAATTAAATATTCTGATTCTTATACTGTATTTAGACAATTAGTTATTTCAGTTTTTATACATCTAAGTATTATCTAATCCAACATTAGGCCTTCTTTTCTGTACATTTATCAAGCTGTTACTTAATTTTAAAGTATGTCACCTAATTGTAGAACTTAAGGAGTCTTTCTGTTAATTAATTTACATATTCTAGGATCATTAACAGAACTTATTCTTGTAGAGTTTATTTAGATCTTAGTACTTACTTTATAGTATATTTTTAGTATTTTTAGTATATCTCTGTTTTTTTTTTAAACTCTTAATTCAGATAGTTCAGTAAAACTATAATCAGTTTATTGATATATTAGATCAGTCTGATATCTTTTTTCTCTAATTTTCTTAATTAGAATTCTAATAATTTAATTAATAATATTCTTACTTAGATGTTTTTGCTTATCTAGATACTTTATATTAGTATTTATTTCTTAAGTTTCTTGTTTTTTAATTTCTACAAATTTATACAGTTATAAGAACTTATCTTGGGTTTGCATCACCTAATATCAGTTTGTATTTCTTTATATAACTAGTTATACAGATATCTTATAACCTGTTAGTCATATTAGTAAGACTATAATTACAGATATTTTAATTCAATCATTAGAAATAGTTGTCATAATATAAGTATTATATAGATGATTATTTAAATTTTTACTATTAGTAAAATTTGAACTCATTACTTATTATTTAGAAAGTTGACAACTTTTTTATTTTACTAAGTCATCATACTTTATATATTAATTAAATATATATATATTTTTAAAATAATCTTTTTAATAAGAATAGTGATCCAAGTATAGTAATTAGGTTGTTATCCTTCAAGTAACAAGTCTAAGGTTCAAATCTTATCTACAATAAAATTTAGAAATTATATCTGCATTATGGTAACTGTCTTCTGTCAATCAGTTGGCCTTATATGACTATAATCCAGGTATACCAAGTTAGGTTTTACTAATATTAGGAGCTCAGAGTATTTATACGAAATGTAATCTTACATGTATATAGTAAAATATATAACTAATATTACATAAGACTTCAGTGCAAACTCATGATAAGACCACTGGGCATAGAAAACTAAAGAACTAAAGTAATAAAAACCCACTTGGAAATTCCTAAGCAAAGAGGTAGCATGAACTTTCAACAGTATTATTGAACTAGTTGAAGGTCACAAAACACTTTTATAAAAACTAAAGGTTAAACTGGATAGCAAATATGTATAGAAGAGCATATAACTAACTAGACTATCAGATTTATTAGAAGAAAAAAATACAGAAATATACTATATTAGGCTATCTAAATTGGTAGTTTGAAAAAGACTGCTGGTTTTGAGTTGCAGCTAGTAGAAAATAATGAAGAAGATGTTAAAAAGATAGGTACTAGGATTTTAGTAAACTTTACAAGAATAGAAATAGTATAATATAGTAGTTAAATAGGTAACCTTTGTGATTACAAGTGTTAGGTAACTATAACATATTGCATAAAACTAAATCTGTATATATAGGATATAAAGGCTCTAGTAAGTTTCTTGTTAAGGATAAAGTAGTCCTAAGAGTAATGATCAGTATCAGGAACTTGAATAGGTGTAACCTTGAGATGTTTTTATGATACAAAAAGGATTGCATATGCAGAGAGTTTAAATAGACAAGACTCCTAGTTGGCTTGCAGATATAGCAACTAGTGTAAAACTTATATAGCAATGTATAAGCAGACTACTTAAATTAGACACCAAAAGTGTACATGTGGCTAGTTGTAACCTCTATTGTAAAATAAGCCTCTAATGGCATGCTGTGTCTTATATATTTGAATAAAAATGTTGTATTCTCAAGACAAAGACTTTAATTATAAAAAAAAAAATCTTTCTAGTCTTTTGATTTTATTAATATTTTTTAGATAACATGTTTATATATTATAAAAAAAGTATACAACTTATTACATATATAGCTTTTTTATATTATTTATTTAAAAATTTTAGTTAAAAGTTTCTTACTAGTTGTTAAATGTTCTATTTTAAATCTTTTAAACTTGTATTTTGTATTAAATTTTTTTTTAATTTTGGTGATATTGTCAATTAATTTATTAGATTTTAAATTTAATATAATACAATTTATAATTACATTTATAGAATTATTTTTATTTTTTTAATATTAATGATGAGGCTATGTCTTTATCTTTATTGAATATTTAATTAAGATTTACATAAAGTACAATTTTGTTTTTAAAATATTATAAAAAAAATAAAAGCTCAGACTAATTTATTTGTAATCTAAACTAACTAGAATGGTCAAAGCTCACTTAAATTTGAGTATTAGTAATTATATATAAAGAATTAGTTTAATATTTAATTCATTAAATATATTAGGGGTTTATTTTTAAACTAATAGAATTAAGTAAAAGAGAGTGTGATGAAAATAAAGCATATTTACAAAATTATTATTATTAGTATTATATTAGTTATTCTAATTTTTACTCTATATACTAATTTCACTAAGTTATTTATATATCATCTAAGTTTGTATTTATTATATATTTAAATACAGTTATTTTAATAATTATTTACAGTTAAAATATATTATTAAATTATTATATAGACAAAAATATTACTAAACATAATATAATATTCTAATATAATTATTATTATTATTATTTTCCCTTAGGCAGTCACACTAGTACTTTATTAAGATTTATAAAATTACTATTGCAATTACATAGATGTACTTAACAACTAAGTCTAGCATCACCCAGCCACCCTAATAGTGCCTAAGTGCAATTTGTTACATTACTTTAAACAGAAGTAAGTTGCTTGTCTGACTACTTAAAATCCATAATGAAAAGGTTTTTCATCTTTCACAACAAATTTCAAAATTGTCTTTCTGGCTTTATTTTCGATTCATTTTTTTTTTCTTTTAATTATTAAGCAAGAGGATTTTATAATTCTTGCCTAAAGAACAACAGGATATAAGAAAAAAAAAACTAAAAAGAGAGTAAAAAAAAGGGAAAGAGCTAACTACAAAACCTAAACATAAACTAAAAAAAAAAAAAAAGATAAAAAAAAGAAGAACAAAGAAAAGAAACAAAATGAAACATGTAGACACTATTTTTGCCTGAACTTAGCTTTAAAAAATTCTATATAATACTAAATAAAGAATACTCCACATTTGCTTTATCTTTGTATTATAATATATTCCATTTGTTGTATAGAGAAAATAGTCGAAGTTTTTATTTTCCTCTTGAGTTTGATATATGTTATCCATTGTAGGTCTGATACTTGTCTCATGGTTTTCTCATGACTAATGTTACCAATTTGAGAAGGTAAACAGTGTTGTCCTTTAGAGAAGGTATGTCAGATTTCCCACTTTTTGGTAAAAATTTCAAGAGAAAAATCCAATAGTAAGAACAGAAAGAAAAACCAACTTGAGAAGAAATTATAAGAATTACGCTATATAGAATATTATGTTAAAACAAGTAACTATTTAGGCCTAAACCCTTATAGCACTTGACAAAGCTCCAAAGCTTATCTATTACTTTTTTGCTTAGTAGTACTTGTGTTTTACTAAGAAACTTTACTTACAAGAGTTTGAGTCTTTTTCAGCTCTTTTTAGTTACAACTAAGTATGCAGTGAATAGCCTCTCTAGTTACTTCAAAGTAAAGTTTTGTTATATTTAAATATAATAACTATATAGTTTTTATAAGTCAGACTTTTTGGAAAAAGTTGGTATAAGGGATTGTCAAAAAGAGTTT